TCAGCAGCCGAGGCGGGCGGCGTAGCATTAAAATTAAGGATAGGGTGGCCTCTCGGCGGAGGCCGAGGCCCGAGATAGACTGTGGAGCTCATGGCCCCAGCATCTCACCCAGCAAACGCACCTCAGCGGCTGGCAACTGCTTCCTGCGAAAGCAACCGACTTAAAGCACGTTCGGGGTCGACGCCTGGGCGACGATGCCGAAGACCTGCACAGCAAAACTAAAGTCTTCACACTATGGCCTTCAGAACGACAGCAATCTGTGCAAACGCTCCGACACTGACGCAGGGCCAACGGACACTTTCTGCAGCCCATGGCTCTTACTGCAAGTGGCCACTGCGCGCAGGCATTGGGAAGCTGCGGGGTGGGTCGGGTGTCCTTCGAGAGCTTTGGCTCGGGTGAGACGAGAGACTGGAGGCTCAAGCTTTGGAGCCCCTTTGCCGGCCATGTGTTGGGAGAACAGTGGTTGAACAAGCCTTCCTCAAAAACCTTCAACTGAAGCGGTCTGCAATCCCTAACACCTGGACTTCTAGCTAGACGGGGCTGCAACAACGCGGCGAGGGTGCTCCCACTCGTGACTAGTGGCGCCAGATCTTCAGAACTCGGTCTTTACCGCCTGTCGCAACCCGCGCGCCGTCCAAGCTCCAGTCCACGGCGTAGACCTGTGCTCGACAGTTCACTGACTTCACCACCGTGTGATTTGCAAATCCGCCCGATTTTCGATAGGTCTTCCCAAACGTGATTTGATTTTGTAGGCAGGTGAGCCTTGAAGTATTCGCAGTGCCTTTGTTCTTAGATGAATCGCGGTCGTTCTGAAAGTCTTCAATGTCGCATGCAAGCCGTCGGCCGAGGTTTACACACCACTACCTGGGCATATATTATGAGGCGGAACAGGGAAGGATGGTTCGGAAGGATAGTATAAGCACCTAAATACCGCTGGTTCTCGGACTTTTCGGCCGTACTGCTACTCGGCACATGGAGGCTTATGCCTGCAAACTCTGTGAAGCCATGGCCATGCGATGCCTCGTCAGCGTGTCCTGGCAAATCCTCCTGCAGTTTGCGCCGTCCGATATCCTTCACACGAGCCAGCAGACAAGAAATGCGACATAATGGGACAATGAGTTTGAGGCTTGGCCCAGTCGGTAGTTTCTGGAGTCTGACATGGAGCTCTTGGCTTTTTGCGCGGCTTGGCATGGACAGACCAACATCATGTAACAGGCCTCGCATGCGCGCCCAAACCCTCAGGAGCAGAAAAACAGCTGCATCGCCCGTTTGGAGTGCATCTGAGAATCCCAGCACTTTGCCGTCGAATCTTTGGACACGCTGACAAGCAGTCGGCTGTCGCCAGACCATGCCAGCTGGTACACATCACCTAAGTGCGACTGCATGTCACCGCCTTGTGATTGCATGCCCTCGTTCTCGATATGTGTTTGTTTGTCGAAACCTGCTCTGTCAATGCAGCCTCAGACCAGCCTCGTCAGCATGTGAAGGCTTTGCCGAATTGCCGGCCGTTACGTATCTTACGCTCTCATACCTCGGACATGCCAGTTACGTATCTTGAGACTTTGCATGGTAAACCTGCTAGTGACTGCGAGCGGTCGCAGTTGTGGTCGCCCTTGCATTGCTGCTCGCTTGTCTGTGTATCTCACCCATCTATCTGTCCATCTACCGCCGTAACTGTAACTGCACCATTTAGTCTTGTACCCGGGTGGATGGAAAGATAGACAGATAGACAGACAGACAGATAGATAGGTAGGCACAGGCAGTCACTGTACATGCGTGAACTGGGTATGTGCATTGCAAATATATGCTTTGTAGATGCATACACAAATGAACAAACAATAATGAATGCATGTCATGTACATGCGCATGCATATGTGTTTCTTTGTTCGTTTGTACATTGTGTTCATGCATGTAAGAAACTACGCATGCATGCATGTGTAAATTATCTGTAAGTAAGTAAGTAAGTATGTATGTATGTATGTATGTATGTATGTAGATCTTCGTACCAGTGAATCTATGTGTGCATGCATGTATATATGTGTGTATGAATGTATGAATGCATGCATGCATATACATATCTGCTTTTCTGCAGGGTATGTGCATGTGTACAAAAGTGCGTACGTAAACAAGTATGTATGCATGTACCTGCACATGTATGTATGCAAATATGTGTATGTGTGCTTGTATGTGCTTATGCACACTCAAATTTACGCATACGCACGTATGTATGCATGTATGTATGTACTAATGCAATGTAATGTAACAATGTCGGTATGTGTGTATGTATGCATGTATGTATGTATATATGCTATGTATGAATGTATGTGTGTATGAATGTATGACTGTATGCTTGTATGTATATATGCTATGTATGAATGTATGTGTGCATGAACGTATGACTGTATGCTTGTATGTATGCATGTATGCATGTATGTGTCTGTCTGTATGCACACGTATGTACACACACACACAAGCATGCATGCAGACGGGCGGGTGTATTTCGTGAATGTTTCGCCAATCCCAGCCTGGCCTACATGGCCACGGAAGGCGTGAACGTACTTGCCGGTCCGGCCGTCCCAAAGTCTCAGGACGATTCATAGGGTCAGGATTGGAAAGATGCTTGTGTCAGGGTACGGCATCTAAGCGACTCGAATAGGTCGGGTCAGCGAACTGATGCACAGGCTTTCTAGGGTCACGTGAAGCTCTGCGGGTTGTAAAACCTCCCAAATCCCTTATCCCAAGCCTGCTTGAAGTCTTGGGTGTGCCCGATTGCTATCTTGGGCGATCTATTGCCACTGGCGCGAGCAGCTGAGATTTCAGCAACTCTGTTGCCAAGCTGCAACAATCGGGGTACCCCATGCAACCGCTGTGCTACCGTATCAGGATTAACAACAAAAGCTGGCACAGAGCTACGAAGCTGGCACTCTGAACTCAAGTCGGTGCCTCACAGACTTGTCAAAGGACGCGGATGCAAACCATCGACCATCTGGGGAGAAAGCGACCTGGTTCCTGAGAGTCCAAGAGCCAGAGTGCGATGCACAGGCTGAAGCGCAAGCCGAAGTGCGCTAAGGTTCCAGAAAATATTCTGGGATGCTCAGCCGACATAAAGCATCAAGCCACGCTCTGAAGCAATTGAGACCTGGCACACAATCTTCTGGTGCCCGGTCATCCGGCACACTGGGGTTTTGGAGACCTCGCAGGTCAGATTACGCCGATTTCTGGCATTGGTGTGCAGGATTCCGACTGCAGTGAGGACTCGCGAGAAGCCTTTGTTTAGGGTTTGGCCCAGCGGCGAGCGGCCGCCACAAGAAGAGCGTGAAGTCATCGGAGCCCGACAGCAAACGCTCGCCACCACACAGCTCCACCTGGGGCTCTATGCCCTCACAGACAAGCAGACGCGTCCCGTGAGCCAAGTTTGCAGCAAACTGTATGCAGGAATTTGCAAGGAATCCGGAGCAAGCAAGGGGTGTTACAAGCCGTTTGTCCATCTGTAGCAGCACTTCAATAGACCTGACCCCGAAAATACCAATCGGCGCTGCGGACCCTTTTGGCTCCTTATGGCCGCAGATTTGTACAAGTCTCGGAGCAGTGCTTAAGGGCCCTGCCCCAGTCATGTTGTGATGTTAAACGTCCATGGATTTCGTTGAAAACTTACCTTCTCTCGCTCTCTCTCTCTCTCTCTCTTTCTCTCTCTCTCTCTCTCTCTCTCTCTCTCTCTCCTGATATCTCCTGACTCAGGATCCGCTACAACCACAACCTCAAAGCTGCTAAGCTGGGCAGCAGCTTCCGCGTAGCGCTTCTTCGCTGCCTCCTTTCTGGTTTGACAAGTGCCAGATTGAAAGTTCAAGCTCGGATGCTGGTCCTAATGCAGACATGCAAACACGCAAGTGCCTTCTTCTCGGGCAGATCCGCGAACTTCTGCGGCTCGTGTGAAAACGGACCAGACCGGATGACATAGTCCTCACGAGGAGCAAATTTGCCTTATCAAGGTTCTTGAGACTGGCAAGCAAACTCTTCTGCCCGTGCCACAGCGTGTCCGTGTTCAGCGCAAGTGTGTTGATCCAGTGTCCATGGCCCTTCAGTTCATTCCTCGGCTAAAGCATGTAATGCGCTTCCCTGCTGCAAATGTCAACTTTGTAGCTTAAGAATGATTACGCCGATTCTGATCCGGTCTCTTGTGAAAACTCTACTAGCTTACTACATGCCAAGCTTCAGCATGCTTCCATCCTTGGGATTCCAGACCTTGATTACAGTGTCCCGGCCGGCTGTGTACACAACGCCGCCAATGTCAGCACGCTCGCCAGACCACTTCACCTCACGAACCCGCCAGCACTTCGAAAGGCAAGTGAAAACTCTCCTCATGCCATGGTGGGGCCTGACAGTCGCTTGTGACGTTGAAAACCCCAGGCCTCTCACCTCACACTTGAAACCAGACTATGGATCGTCTCAGGCAAGCCGCCTGCATCACAGGCTGGGAGTGGGAAGTCAGACTTCGAAGGCACACGCCCACGCTCACGTCCCACAGGCGGACGGTGGCATCCTTGGAGCTCGTCGCAAGCCTCAGAAAGTCGGAGAAAATAGCGCTGCTTTTGGGCTTGGGGCTGCTTTACGGATTTGACATCTTGAACATGCGTCTTGAGGTCCAGCGCCTTCTGTCTCTTCCTTCAGCTCTCTGAGTTCTACCAAGGCCGCGAATCGTTCACCGGACCAGTCTCGAATTTCTCAAATCACAAGACTCCAAGCCATGCAGTCTAGATTCTAGATGTGTCTCACGATTCGCAACCCCTCAGAGACTGTATTACAAACGGTCACATTACAGGACTACGCTGCTTGGGCTGAAAGTTCTTATGTTGGCTCCATGTAGACAAGACTGACCTGTCCTGTGCGTGCCAAGTATCCAGGGGAAGCTCTCCGCAACATGCAACGGCTGCCAGCAAGCGGCAGTGACCGGTTGTTGGTGGCCTTTCCTAAGACAGGCTCTCAGACAGAGGACAGAGGGGGAATGTGCCATTTCCACAGTTTGATGCTATGGCATAATGGCATAATACCTACTTCTGAGCAATTCCGTGCCGACAGTCTCTGCATTCGGGGACACCGGTGCTCCAGCCACTGCCGTAAAGTCTCAAGGCTGCCAGGTTCTTCCCGGACTTCGCGCACCAAACGAGAACGATCTTGTCCATGCCTGCCTTGAGTCAGCACGAAGCGGGACGCTGGCCTACGCTCAAACCCATGACAAAGGAGACATTCTTTGGACCAGGATCCGATGCGAGCTTGGAGCCATCAGGCGACCATGCAACGACGAGCACCCAGTTTTGATGACCTCAGCTGAGCAGCCAGAAGCCGTCGAAAGTACAGCGAAGCACTGGCCAACCTGAGCCTGAGAGCTCCATGCTGCTAAGAGGCCTTTGCAGGTGTGCTTGGGCAGCTCTGTGTTGAGATCCCAGAGCCTGGCTTCGCGGGCAAGAACAGAAAAGGGCCATGCTGTGGGCCATGCCGGGAGTCCTCACGGTGGAATCGCCAGAGCCGCTGGCCAACATCTTGGAGTCCGGAGAGAAGGATACGCAAAGCACGGCCTTTCAAAACAAAAGCTCCTGTCGAAGTGCACTCAGAGCAAGGTATGCCCTGGGGCCTCAATGTGCCCGCTGAGCGATGACGTGCAGCGGGTGATGGGCCGCACGCGAAAGACTGCCAAAGGGTAATACACGACCTCGGAGTCAGACGCTGTGAGCCAGTCAGGATTAAGCCCAAACACCGTGTCGAGGGCGATCTGAAAAAGTCCCGACCGGTTGCCCCCTTGCTTCTAGTCTTGAACGCTTCAGCTCGACCGACACCGCCAAGCTTCAGCTCGCAGACATATGCTCTCACGGTGAACTCAGCCCCATGCACTATGTACAGAGTACTTGGATGCTGGGCTTCTTTTCCAAACCCTTCAAGCTCCTGCTCGAACTGGGTCTCCGGCCTTCAACACTCTCTCCGTGGACTGCTGGCCCTTTGCCAGCTTGTTGAAGGAAGCCGCAAGGTTCCTGAAGGTTTCAGAGGTCAAAGGTCTTGAAGCGTATATGCCCTCAGAAGTCTACAAGAGCCATGAACGTGACTTCTGCAGCCCAGCATCGTCGTGATCTCTGATTCTTCTAAGTGGAAGCTGTAAGGCATTTCTTCCTTCACTCACCAAGCAAACTGCCGAATAAATCGATGTGCGTGCAGTTTCCGTCGTCCCCTTTTTCTGCTGATAATCTGATAGGTACGCATCCTTTGACACGTCCTCTGACTCTGCGAGGTATCATGAAAGGAAAGACGAAGACAGATACACTAAAATACATCTATGCATGGAGGGACATAGGCAACGGCAACCAAAACAAACAAATGCACAGTCACAGTCCCACACAAGCCAAACGAGCAAACTCAAGCACACCTGCAGATATCTAACTTATAAATATGTATAGAACTATGTATGACGCACATGCGCAGAGACTATCTCTTTCTTTGGCCAGGGCTGTGGTGGGAGTTGCCTCCTGGTCCCAGTCCCTTTCTTTTCTTTCTGCACGGTTTGGGGTCGACTGCTCGACCCTCAGGCCTCTGGCCCGCCCAACCACACAATGTGTTATCCTATAGTCTCCCTGTCTCTCTCCCACTTGCTGTTGCGATCCTTCCTGAGCCTTTCAGTACAGATAGCCTCACGAAGATTCAGGTCTAATCTGTCAGTGGACATCTGGTCTCGCACTGCATATCGCATCGATCTTGCCGGCTGCGGCCGGGCATTACAGTGCTAATCGTGAGCTGGGTCGCAGCATTCTCGAGCAGCTGGTTCAAAAGCCTCCGTTGCCGCATTGCACAGGAATGCAAGCAGTGGGCAACTTGTGAGCTCCTACTCTTGTGGTCTCTCAGAGAAAGCCAATGTCCGAGACCCCTCACCGAGCCACGTGCCAAGCTGTTCCTTAGACGTGCCCAACGGCACATCCAGCTGTGGGCCAGCGGATTTCCTCAAGCAGTCGAAAGGTAAGAGTTCCTATTGCTCACCCAGAGGCTAAGCACGTGCAGCGAGCATTTTGACATACCGTTGTCGTGCCCAAGCTTCAGCTTCAACATGTAGAGAGGGCAGTGGGGTCTTAGCTGAGCCCCATGCCCTTCCGGGTCGACGAACTCTATCAAGGCTTGTCCTTAGGGTCTGCGAACTCGCAGCCCGGGGTGCACCCGCTAGCCACATTGAACCAGGAACTTCCAGCAACACTTCGATGAACAAGGCGAGGGGCCATCTATCGCCAGGGTTGCTTGGGTGGCAGCTTTGAGTTTGGAAGCTGCCACCTTTGAAGATCGTGCGCAATTATTTATGTTTCGATATGATGATATATGGTGAGCTCGAGGCAGCACGTGTGGCGCAGCAAACCACAAGAACTCGGACAAAAGCCGGGCCTCCTCCACTGCTTTTTTGTCGGCAACTCTCCTTTGATTCAAAAGCAAAGCCTGCAAATGCCTGTGTCGCTGGGAAAGCGCAGCCAAGGCGCCTCTTCTTGTTAGGCCGAGCTGACATAGGAAGCGCTGGCGCACTTTGTGCCTGCCTCGATGCCCTAAACGAAATGTCAAACCTTTCGCTGTCCTGCTCCTGCTACCCTTAGCCAGCGGTACTGCGAAACGGACCTAAGCTAGAAATCCTTTGATTGCTGCGAGGCTTTCGTTGACAGGGTCTACAGCCCATGCTTCGGAGGTCAGGATCGCTCCACGGTCCTTTCCATCAGGGGTGTGGCTCGCTGTGTGCTTCGCATCTTTTAGCAAGTACATTGGCACTCAGTCCAAGGTCCGAGTGTGGCCACTCGTGGAAATCGGAAACTGGAGTTCTATACATAGTGTACACTTTTCAGCAGCGATGTTCGCATGGTTCTCCTCTGTACAATGTTGAGACCATCTTAACACCCTGCTCAACAGTGCGGTCCGGCTCCAAGCGTTTACGGAGCCATAAACGAAAAGCAATCGGCTTAAGACACGGGCATGTGGCAAGAATGCTCTTCCATACTGGTCTAATCTAAGCACTCATTCATGGTCGCAGATTCTGTCTTGAGCCCTTACGAAAGCACGAGTCGCCTAGCGGCCTAGCCGTAGCGCATGCCTCAGAACTCCAGTATGCCGCGGCCGAGCCTGAAAGACGGGGGCAACAAGATATGTGCCTGAACACGATGAAGTCTTCGAGCTTTTTTCCGCCGCTTGCGAAAACAAGATTACATTGGGGCGAGCTTCCAGTGTCACTCGGCGACAGGAACTCTGGCCAGCAACTCATCGAAGAGATCTTCAGGCCGGCGTGTCCGAGGGTTGATGTTCCTTGTGGAGCAACTTTGACAAACTCGGTGAGTGGCTTGCGCCCCCATCTGGTTGATCACCATGTAGGTGTACAGAATTACAACCGCCCTCTTGCACAACCACTGTACTGCCAAGCATCACAACAGTATTGCGCCGCACGATGGTGCGGGTGGGCCGAAGCTGCGTCTGGTTGAAGCTACTTCCTCAGTCTCAGCGTGACAGTGCTTTTTCAGGCATTTCTGTGCGACGTCCGGGCATTTCAGTGAGTGTTGGTGTTGGCCTGTGCAAAATGCTGCAACAAGATGCTCTTGCAGCCACGGCACCAACAGGAAATGTGCGACTTTCTACCTGAATAACTCTATCTCGTCTTCGAGTCTGCACAGGAAAACTCTCGTCCAGCTCAAAACCAAGGCGCATCCGGGTCTTCTTCCGGCCACCTTTCCGCAGCTAGGGCGAAAGCAAGCTCCGCTGATGGTGGGTCGTCCCTCGAAGTGAAGACCAAGTCCTGGTCCCAGCATGCACAAACTACAGCCTCCGCCGAGACGATGCACCGAAGGCTGCAGCTTCTGCAGTCAGCAGCTCTTCCGCCAAGTACGACAAACAGTCCGCGAGCACTCACAAGTTCCACAAGCGCGGGGCAAGTGCTTTGCCTTGAAGGCTTCACTCCTGAACCTAGCAGGACCTAGCAAGCGTATAGATGCTTTCAAGGGGGCCATGCCATAGGTCGCCTGCAGTGCTTGGCACATGGCCGGAAGGCCTTGGACTGTGATAGATTTTCAGCAGTGACTTTCGCACTTTACTTCTTCAAGTCGTCCAAAGTCGAGGCGGCTGAAACGAAGCAAGGAGAAGCCTTCAATCCAAAACCGGAGCTGCTAACAGGTTCGCAGGTTGTGGAGTATCCGCAAGCTTTTCCATGAAGCAGAACCAGCTCATGTTGAATGACTGCATGACTATGCTACCGAGAGTGCCCCGCACTGCCGACAATCTGGTTGTGGCTCAAGGAGCATGCGGCACGAGCATCGGCATCCATGGGCCCTTCTGCAGCCATGAGGTCAGCCTTGTGGCCTGGAAAAAGTCGCCCTGCTCTGGAACTAGGCTGTTCCTACCCCATATGAGAAAAGCAGTTACACAGGCCAAGCGACAAACCAACAACTTTGGCATCAGCCGAAACCTGATGCAGCAAAGGAGAATCACACTCGAATTTGCACGTAAAGTGTACAGTCGGACGGGGAGGAGAATCGACAAGGTTCCAGTTGCAAAATAAAAAAGCAACATAGATGGTCTTCGGTTTTGTCGAAGCTGGACCGGATGCTGGAAGCATATCCAGCAGTTGACTTCTTGCCTTGACCTCATGTACCCAGCACTCAGCATCTGCTCAAGCTGCAAGCTTCGCAACTTCTTTGGGCCGACTGTCTGCCGAAGCTCCTCGATGCACCATGCAGCTTTGGGAAGCGAGTCCTGCACTGTGCGCTCTGTGGGCTTCGTGGGAGACGACGGCACATGCACTCAACAAGCAGGAGGTGTGGCACTTTTCACTTTTCGGCTCAGTCCCGCCGTCAATGGTTTCAGTCTGCCGATGGCATGTTGTACAACAACTATAAGACAAGACTAGCACTTCCAACTTAGCATTCCATCGAGAATGCAAGCCCAAGCCTCTCGAGCAGCAAAAGGTCCTCCATCCGGCCCGCGTCGAAAACGAAGAGTGCAGCCGTGTGGCCGCTGTACAGGGCTGCTGACAGGGGGGTGCCTCTCACCTTCAGGGCTCCGAGCATGTCCGAACAATAGCGCGAAATGCTTGGGTTCGCAGCCACATCAGAAGTGATCGCACAACTGACTCCAGCTTGAATTCGTGTTGGTCTGTGGAAGTACCATCACGGGTCATGCAAAACCTCGCCCCTGAGCCCACCGTGCTTCGTTTGTCCACCACTGACACTGGCAGCAGCACGTTTTCAAGCTCGGCCGCGAAGCTGTACCTCCCATGTTTGGGCGAGTTGCTTGTTTTGCAACATGTCGAAATACCAATGCACGCACGCCTGGCGCCACTCTCGCTGACAAGGCACACCGACATGTCCTTGCTCGCATCCGTTTGCTCGTAGTTTCGGCGCGAAAGCAGCCTGACCAGCGTCGAGATCCTCAGCTTCGTTACTTCTGGAACTCGACGGGTAGCTTCAGATGCAAGCCCAGCAGCCCACTCCCGCGCGCCCCAGTGACGATAAGGCGGTATCGGCTTTGCTTGCCTTGGTAAAAGGTAATTCTTCGCATGGCTGACAATGCCCGCCGGCGCATGTTGGACAACGGACTCAAAGCATCTGCAAATGCGCAGCGATTAAGAAGTTGCGCAGTTTCACAGCATACCGACATGCACTGACAATGCGTCGTGACCATCGCAGAACCCTGAACATCGACTTTATGGAGTCGGTGTTGCTGATTGCTGTCGAGCTTGGTGCATCTGCCTCCACGCCACGGTCACGGACACGGCATCTCTCTGACCTCATCTGTGTAATGACAGCGCATGCAAACAATGCAAGTGTCAGTCTGTCAATGATCTTGCTACCTGCTTGGTTCGGTGCAGAGTCAGACAAATGCAATGGCTTCTGATGCACTTACCCACGTATGAGGTATATGGCAATGCACCTGTCCAACCTCCGCATAGTTAACATCCGAGAAGCAGGACACCCAAGCGCTGAGCCTTGAGCATGGAAGGCGCTTTGCCCTGTAGCACCACCGAACTTCCCCTCGGCTCTGGTGCACACCCTCGAACCGCACAAGACTAGCTGCAATCATGCCCAAAACGCAGTAGGTCATGGGACCTGGATTTCTTTGACATGGCCTCAGGTCCTTGAACGGTCTGTGTTCTGGAAACCATGTTTCTGCACCCAGCTGCCTTAAGAGGTCCTGCCACAAAAGCGACGAGGAAGGAACTGCCTGAACAGAACTGGCTAAGTCCGTGAATGTAGCATCGCCGGAAGCTGTTTCGACCCTGCATGTGCCTCAGCCAGGCCTGGACTCGCCTGACGAAGCGACGTCAGGGAAGCTCCATTGCAGTACCTTAGAATATTAGAAGATGCACCAAGCACAACCCAGGTTGCTTGAGCAGCTGAGTCTGCAAAGACCGTCTCATGAAGCCTTCGCAAGCTTCAGTCGGAGGAGCTTCGCTTCTAGCAGCAGTGGTCGGGATTTTTGCTCGTGTTTACTTTAGTCATAGTATATATTGTAATTAATGGCGGGAAGACTGAGAATTACTCCTTGCCTCTCACCCGGCTAGGGTGGTTTGCTGTTCAGCCTTGCATCCTGCAAGAAAAGGCGCACACCTCCGGTGATCCCAGGATCCCCAGACTTCCATCAGCTGAACAAGTTTGGGTATGGGAACCTGCTTGAACACAACTGATGTGACATTCTACATGATGCAGCCAAGAAGGCACTGACAAAGAGTTCGAGGGAGACACCCCTTGAAAATGAAACGGTCTTCAGCACTAGACAGGTTCTGTATTCTGAATCATCTGTGGAGGCTACATGGCAGCATGCCCTGCAAGCATCTCAAAGCAACCGTGTGTTACGGAGTTATCGCAATCTACGAAGCAGGCAATGTGAGGATGTGCTTCTCCCGAGGGCTTCTGCTTGTCTGACTAGCTTGACAAGTACTGACTGGAGTGCTGAAAGAGGCGGGAACTTGCAGCCGGGAGGCCCCAGCGCAACATTCAGGACCTGCATGTTTGCCAAGTCCTGGAGAGGTGAGACAAAGCTTGGGGTTCCATCTCCTGTTGCCTGCTTTGCACTTGAAGTCCTGAAACGTGCAGCAGGCATTTGCAGAGATTGGAGCATGAGACGCAGCCATGGCTGCTTGCGTTCACTGTCGCGACCCTGGCTTGAGCTCTGGCGGCTGCGGCTCAGCGCATGCTCTGTGCAGCTATGACACCATCGCAAAACGGAAGAGGCAGTCGGCCCTCGCCAAGATGCACCAAGGCTAGCAGATTCGGACTCGCATCCCTTGACTTTCTGCTGTGCGAGACTTGACCTGTACAGAAAGGCGCTGCCGTTGAGCAAGCCGCCAGAGAACTCTGCCGAAGGCGAAGTTGCGGCGAGCCCTGCATTCACAGACTTAGTAGACGATTCGGGTCGGGTTGAGCAGCGCAATGGCCGACCACAGCTGAACAGTGCAGCAACCTCAGCAACAACCTCGGGCTCATAAAACAGAAAAGCAGGCTGTTGGCCCCGTGCCGACTTCCTGCAAGGCGCAGCATTGGCCGAACTCAGGTTCGGCCCATTTTGGCAAAGGCTCTGAAGCCCCAGCGTGTCCAGAATCTACAGGAATTTGGATGACCACGGATGCCCAACTGACATCCGGCATCCACGGATGCTTTATGCCTTTTCTGCTAAAGCTGCTTGAACCCACCTGGAAGGATTGCTGCAGATTTTCCCTCTGCGACGTGGCCTGAGGTCTACACAACACGTCTCCGACGACCTGCAACCCCTGAAGTTCTGGGCAGCTCCTGTCTTCGTGCAAAACAAATCGAGAGCTCAAGGGCCAAGGTCGATCTCGAGATCAACCGGCTTCTACTCGACTAAAGTTACTAAAGGTGTCCCTTCCCGTGGCATTTCCTGCAGTCTTTGCAGAAGAAGCACTTCTCATCGCGAGCCTGCCGCACAACTCTCTCTCGTGTCTAAGGCTCTGCAGACATCGCGCTTTACATTCCGCCCGCACATGAACTCCTCTCCTCTCTGCTCACGAAACGACGCGGCTGCAACCACTCAAAGACTCAAGTAGCACTCGACTAATGAACGTAGCTCCGGCAAATCTGCAATTCCAGCAATCCAAAACGTCTGGACATCAGAAGCGTCAAGCACCAACGGCCCCCCAAATTGATCGATGAACTTTTACCCAGCAGCATAAAAAAACAAGCAACCGCTGCTTTCACTGCAGTTGTTGCAGTTCGCGTTCACACGCCACCATTGTATCAGACAGTATTGACATGTAGCTCATGCAACGAAGTATCCAAAGAACTTGTCCCCGTCAGCCCTGTACGGGTCGACAAGGCTATGAGGGGATCCAGCTATCCGACAGCTGTCGGCCTTGTCATGGTTCATCGAAGATTCGTGGACGAAGCCATGCCCATGGCAATGCGTGCCTGGAGTTCAGCGTCGGAACCACGAAACGTGTTTTGAACATGCGGCCCGAGTTATTGTGCTGAAGGCTGCAAAAACTGCGCAACCGCAATCAAGCCCAATCTGGGGCAGAAGAAAAGGCAGAGGTTCTTCTAGCACCAGTATGACTTATCATATGCTATGGCGGCACAAAACATTATCTCATCAGGTACTGATGCTTGCCAAACGACACATCTGACCGTGCTTGGACCATGGTGTAGCAGCTTCGATGTGGCCCCTCCCTTTGCAGCCAGAGCAGTCCTCGTGACAACAAGCGCTGCATGTCTCCGTGTGGTGTGCAAACGCAGGTTGAAGTGCAGATCTGGTGGTCTAAGTCAGCTGTGCAGATGGCTTCCACACAGGATCGGACAGTGTGCCGACAGCTGCCCGTCCTTGCAGAAGAAGCACCGACTGTTTGGCCCGGCATCGTGATTCATGCCTGGAATCTGGGGGCGGCCTAGCTGCATAGCTCGTTCCTGATTACAGTGATATCAGTGATAAAGATTAAAAGCGGATGAGAAGTCCCCGAGCCAAGACACTTGAGTCGTGGAAAAAGCCCTTTCCCTCGCATTTGAAGCACTCCTGTCGCCCTCCAAAGCCAATGAAGCCTCCGCCGTGGCCTTGGATCGTGAGCGCGGCGAACTAGCAGTGGGCTACGGGCCTGGTGAACAACCAGAAAAATCAGCTAATTCCAGGAGGGACCATGGTGATGGTGATGTCCATGGTGGTGACGTGGACTGGCACGCCCCATTCCCCTCCCTCTGCAGGCATCACAATCCTCACAGAAGAAGCACCGCTTGTCTGGACGCTCATCATGGTTCATGGTAGAATTGTGGCGGAAGCCGCGCCCCTCGCACTTGTAACAGTAATCGTGGTGCGAAGAATGACCGGAACCATGCATCATTGCTGCTCCCGCGACGCCGGCCAAAACGCCGGCCACTGCACCCGCTCCCAGTAGCCCTGCTCCGAATCCACCTCCACTAGCACCTCCACTCGCTGGCACTGCGTTTGCCTGCACGGGATAGGCTTGCTGTGGATATGGCTGCGCAGTTGCCGGTGTGGCATACGGCGAAGCCACAGCCACGCCTGTCACGACCGGTGTGACTGGCACTGCGACGGGTGTCGCCACGGGTGTTGCCACTGGTGCTGATGCCTGGAATGCCTGTTGCGCTTGTGCTGTCACAGCCGTGCCTGGTACTGGCTGGGCCATCACTGGCTGCACCACACCTGGCTGTGCCGCGACAGGTTGGCCCAACGGAGAAGGCGCCAGGAACGCGCTTAGGGCAGGAACCTGTGCCAGGCTCTGAATCTGGCCGGCAAGATACGTGAGATAGCTTGCAAGGCCACGCTGCCTTTCCTCGTTGAAATTGCCTAGATTCAACATCTTACGAATACCAACTGTGCCCTTAGGTGGCAGCGGGAGACGCTGCAAAGGTACACTGGCCAAGAGGGCATCCAACTCAAGGAACTGGCTGTACCGCTTCTTGCAGAGCCATTCTCGTAAGTCCTCAATGACCCGGATGCTGTACCTGAGACGAGCTGATACGGGCTAGCTCACATTATCTTCGGTTGACGATAAGTTATAAGGCCCTTGCCAAGCCGTTCTGTCAGCTCAAAGTCGGCGAGACTTAACGGTCATGCAGTAGGTTCGCTATGCGAGTACATCTTTGCAAACTCTTGTGCCGGGAAGGCCACCCCAAGGGATTGTGAAGGAGCGCGGTTCAGAAAGCCCTCCCTTTGCGTCCAGGAAACCATGTTGTCCCGTCGAACTCGGAGCTGTCCAGGATGCTAATCTGCACGACCATGGCCTGGAGCAATCCCTTCTTCTGAGGAGGGGCTGTTCACTTCCGATCTCAGACTGCAAGTGCCGCCCCCAGAATCCCAACTCAACAATAAAACACTTCTTGGGAAGTTGGGACCTTGGATTGGTCCAGAGTTTGAGCACAGCCGAGCGGAAACCTGTGCTACTCGATGACTTGAGCCAAAGAATCGTCCAGAAGCGACGGGAACTGCATTGTAAAGACTGCCCAGAAACACCCGAATGGGTTTTCGGAACAGCCGCTGACAGCAAGGATTCAAGCGCTCGATGCTGTGTCGGTTGAATCTGCTAGGAATGCCGGCGAACGGCTACACTCTTGAGCTCGAAGCCCTTTCTGCAGGCTCGCCCGGTTGAAGCGACAGTCCCGAGCACCCTCGAGCAGCCAGCCTCTCGATACATGCGGCACAAACCATTCTCATATAAAAACCTGACACGCCCGCAGGTTCTGCTTGACCTGGTCGCTGACTTAATCCAACATTTTCTACGGTCTCTGCGACAGGCTGGCCTTGTCATGCTGTGCTGCCCACTTTCAGACGATAAGTATCCACGCCTCTCCGGCCCTAGCAATGTACGGCATGCCATGACACTATGAGGCTCAAGAGCAGCTGCAGCGCATTTGGGCCAAAAAGGCAACACGATTGGCACGTTGCAGCAGAGGGAATTATCAGCCTAAGTAGCTTAGCCTCTTCATAGTGGCCTCGTGGGTCTGGCGTTCTTTCCACTTCCCCAGACGGTTGTGGCCTTGCACCAACCCTCATCTTTCGGTGCCGCAGATGACCTCTCGTGACTCTCGTGGCTCTGTCCCCGCAACATGGCTTTGACATAGCAGGAACAGCTTGGTGAACCATAGCGGCTGGGCGTGCGACAAGCATTACCGGTTTGGATGCGTTTGCGCAGGAGGAGCAGAACGATTGCGTCTGCAGCTCCTGGTTCCTCATCTGCGAGGTTTGGCTCTCTGAGGTACCGTCAACAGGCCATTTCGACACCAGGATTTGCAAACATCTATATGGGTTTTGGCAGCACAGCGACCAGGTCGGCTCGGGTCCTTACTTACTACATGCACGACATACCTTCCAGTAATCTGATCTGACTTGTGCGGCCGGCCGTCGGTCGTTTTACTGTCAGATCCGGATCTTGAATTGGACTGCCTGCCTTGCTCTGCAACTTGGCGGCTCAGCGTCTTGGTCCCGAAGATTTCCGCGAGTGTGCACCTGGAAGGCTTGGAACGTGGCTCTCGGGAAAAGTGCGAGCGGCAGCCCGCAAAGTCAGAAACAACCAGAGTCAGATTGTCGTGTTTGTCGTCGTTCCTCTTTTCAGCTTGCTATCTATGGCGTCAATGTCGTTCTCACTACGGCATGGCTTTTGGCTTCTTGTCCCCATCATCTTCATCAACTATCATCAGCACGAAACAAGAAATTTACCGCCTTTACTGTTTGTACATGGCTTCTGCTCTCTATGATGTTTCTCTTCAGTGGTGAGGTTGGTCATGATGCGATCGGGGTTGACATGTCAGCACTATCCGCTCTTTTTCCTCGAGCCTGCAAGTCGTTCGACAGGCGGGCTGCGGAATAACATCCCTGCGCCAAAGCCCAAACCATGAAGTTATAAGTTACAGGAGCTTCGTGGAATCATATCTCCAGTTCCCAACACCATGGCCTCGATAAACTGCGTGCACTGAAGCAGTTGGATGTATTTTGCTACCCAGATCTGAAGACTGTTGCCCTTGGCGCAGGCAGCCAAAACAGAACTGAACAGCAGCTGAGGTATGAATCTTCCGCACATGCCAAAACCGCCCCCAGCCCAAACTGCACATTGTTGCCGGAAGGCACGCATCCCGCGACCTGCAAAGATGGAAGGGCTCCATCAGCGGGTTACATGTCATGCTATGCCTTCTCGTCCATCTGGCACTTTGGTATTTCGGCCAGAAAACTGCCGGAAAGCGGCATGTGTCAGTGCCCGGCAGGAATCACCAGCCACCAGGCACACGCTGTCATGGTTGTCGCAGAGACAGCTTAATGCGACAGGCCGCATGGAATCAATCCCTATCAGTCCCCGGGCTTAACATCTGGAAATAGCAAGCAAACAACTCACTCGGTTACTGCATAGTCCAGTTACCAGCCCAGGTTTCGTGAGGCCTATGGGCCGCGATGGACACAGCAAGCATGGGATGGTGGCAGCGCCGTATGAAAATTCAGGATTAGGTTGAGCTGCGGATCTGCTCGAGACCATTCGTTCTTTCCTTACCCTCGTCCGCCCGTACCGACTGAAATGTACAGGGTTTTGCAAATCGGAAGCATGTTGAGGGTCGGTGATGTACGTGCATAACAATATCATGTACCTAACAGCGACTGCAATGGCATCTTCGCACAGCAGCTCAGCTTCAATGCAGGAAGGGTGCCACTCCAGGTGTGGCCTGGTGGTCCCCAAAGCCGTCAAAAGGCCAATGCCGTCCGCTTCTCGGTGTTGAAAGGACATTTCGTAGGTCTAGGCTATCAACACTTGTTACAAGCCGCGCGTATCTAGTCGAAGCGCAACTTTGCTTGCGACATTGCGTTGACCTGGGGCCTAGAGTCAAAGATTTGAGGCCAAGACCTGCAGCATACATGCTCTTCGTAGTGCATGTTGACCTCCCTGCCTCTGCATGGATCAGCTGGCTCTCCGGTCTGCTGGGTGCATCAATGTAGGATCCAGCGGAACTGATGTAATCCTTCGATATTAGTGACTACAGACTGCCGTGCAGAGAAGTGTTCGCATTGGATCCTGATGAAAGGCACCGGAGCACAAAAGTCGGCCTTTGTAGTACCATCAGGCGCTACTTGGTCCAAGCTCTACAAGGCACCGGCAAAGGGTGGCTCCGGCTCTCAGGGGTCCGGACAGCATCGCCAAGGGGTCTCAGGGCGAATGACTGCCTGTTTTTTTTTCGGGGATCAGGGTTGACGAAGCAAGCGGAGTCATTTTAACGAACATAGCTACATTCGGTCCACCTGCTAGTAGCCACACGTCTCAAACTTCGGCGGTCCGCCGACGTTCGGCAACAAACCAGAGAGCGCCTCGGACATGCTTCATTCGAGGGCCTTCACTCGAACCATACTATGCCGCTCGTTAACGACTCTGGCACAGGTTGGAAGGGACAGGAAGACACGTGTGACAGGAACCGTGAGCAGCAACATCAGCAATGACCATGACACAATGAGCTTGTAGCAGTTTGGTTTTGGCGAGTATTTTGACGGCGTCTGACATGTTTGTAGATATGGTGGAGTCAGGCAATGTAGATATCTCTGGTTGCACGTACACAAGAATATACACAGTGATGGGACAACAAATCTAGTCGAAGTGCCAAACCTTCTCCGAGAAGCTACTACGCAGGGCCGATAGATGTATGTTGAGACTTAGCAGCCTCCACGAAGTCCTGTTCGGCCAGAAATCAAAGCTGAGACAAGGCTCTTTTGTGGACAAATGCATCCTCTGCGCATCAGCTACCTGGGGCAAGTCTTGCAATGAACATGCATCTGCAAACATGGCCTCGACAGCAATGGGAGACTTGTGGGAGAGAGCCGCATCTTCAGAGATGGAAATCGTGGCTGCAGATACAATCCTGAAGCCACTCGTCCAAAACTGGCGAAGCGAGATGCCCGCCGCATTTGGAGCAATGACACTCGCCCCGTGCGGATCACCTGACAAATGCACGTTGACAGTTGAACCAGCCGAGCAAACAAAGGAAGACATGTGCCCATTCTTAATGCCGGCGCCTGCTCTTGCTCAGCACTTAGATTCTTGATCTTCGCCACGCCTGCACATTGCTTGACACCCTCCGATACTGCATGCAGCAGATATTGAGGCAAACGCTCTGTATCGGGAAAAGCTGGAAGCATCATGAAGCTTTGACAGCAACCCTGGTGCCTGGGAACATCCTGAGAACCAGCCTCTGCCGAAGGGAACAATACCTCGGCCGGATAAGGTACGTCATGGACTGTCGAGGTGGGGAGACTTCGGCAAGTTGCATCTCACATCAAGGCAAGAAGTGCAAAGCCAAAGTGGACGAAGCGGTGGAAGCTCATCCAAGCTACCGCAGGAGGGCCTCGATGCAGTTGTTAAAGGCATCCTCAAGAGCAGCAATCCCCTCCACCTCAGCTGATGAGTCAGGGCCTGACGCCTTGAAGGTAATTAGGCTCCGTTTCTCAATCTGCAACGAAAGCGACCGATTCGTGTCTCCATTCGCGGAGACAGTAGGCTCGTACCTTGGTTTCGCAAGGCATCAACCGAATGCCTGTGGCCCAACATATTGCGCAAGGACTCTTGTCCTCTCAGCTCACGCCCGGATCGGGTTCAAGCTCTGCCCCAGCCACTGGATTTCTGATCTACTTGAGTCAAGGGCTTACAACCGCGCCATGGTGAAGTGCGTTGCAAGGGGCTGACTGCTCGCTTTCCAGGCTGTCGAGGAAGTCGCGATGGTTTGCCGGCATGCACACCTTCCAAGGAGAGGCGGGCTTGACTGCTCACAGGCAGCACAAGACAAACTGCATGACTCTTGTCATTCTCTGACATCAGCAAACAAATAACACCACATCGGACATAGGAGGCGCAAGAAAGTGTACAACTGTTCGACCTTCTGCCCATCAGGCCGTCCCGTGCGCTGGCATTCTTGGAAAGCCCGACCCGTGCAGAACAGCAGATAGGATTGGTCTGTTTGCCAAGCCGCTCGCCCCTGCTGCTGCCAATGTTCCTGCAGTGGGCCCGAGATTCCATCCAGCTTACCTGCGGTGGAGGTCGATTAAGGCCCTGCTGTACACTGTAGATGCTACAAATACCTGCAGTCTGTCCACACGTTGCAAAAAAAACTTCCCGCACCACTGCGCCAACGGCGGATTTCGTACTTGCAAGGCCAGTGTGATTTGCAGCTTTGCTGAGGGTCGGCTGGCTCATCGTCACAAGCTGACTCAATCTTGAATCATGTTGATGGAGCTTGGCACTGAAGCCAAGCCACGCAGCCCAAGAATTGCGTGTAGGGCAGGCAGCAAGGGCGAAGATCCTTCCGTATAAATCCATACCTCAGGAGATTGAGAGAAGCCGGACCACGGAGCCATATCCTCCACCTGAAGGCATCAGTCAGAACTAACATCTGAATCAACTGGGCGACTGCGAATTCTGTGTCGGCCAAATTCGGACTCACGAAAGGCCGCAATCGCTGCCTCAGATCAAAGGCCACCCACATCGACATGCAGAGTCGCATGCAGGTTTGCCCGCTGTGTTTCGAATCTGCATCTCAGCATGCCAGCAAACGTATAGAACGGACCAATTCTCTAACCTATGAGTCTGCATTTTGGGTGCCGTGCAAGTGCAACCGCAGGATTACGCTTTCTGATTGTGGCCCAAGCTGCATCATGATAGCTTCTCCGCGCGAGTCTTTGTTGTCAAATTGATTCCGCTGGAACTCCTGGAGAAGAAACATTTCTCAGATGGATGCACGACTGCAACAACTGGCGACCCACTGTCTCGACTACATCAGAACTGCCCTCAATTCCTGCATGTAAGTGTGACAATGCCCATCCAACGGGATGGTGGCAAAAACAGACGATCGAAGAAATGTCCCTGGACAACAGAATCTACATAACATTTCATCGAGCATCACTAAGACAGTCGATGTCACTCGCGAGCTGGCAAAGCGAACCAACAATCTCACCTGGGCTGCGACGGGTTGAGACTCGAGCCTTTCTTCGGCTGTGACTTGCTCGGGGCTGATGTAAAGCTGTTGGTGGCACGAACTTTCTCATGCAGAGCTTCGGGCCCGTACTGTAATGTCTGGGAAACCTGACATCAAGAAGACAACATTTTCCAACCACGAGAGCTTTGGGTTGACCCCGCAAGCATGTACAGTTGTCGGGCAGTTTTTTTCTGGCTCTGCCTGAGCGCGCATGTGGACCCGATCATGCCCTGTAAAGTGTAGTGGGGCTTGATGCAAAGCCCTTCCACACCGACCACATTCCCTTATCGAAGAGTCCTCGGGGCTTCAACCCCAATCCTCTCAACGCTGTCGTTGACTGTCTTTGTTTGACCTCAACGTTGAGACTCCGAAGAAGCCCTCCTACTTTCCGTGGACCGGAACCCCCTCGTCAGCCATGTCGCGGTTGTTCCGCTGCTTCATGGCACTTCGAATGGACTGGTGTGCGGCTGCGATGGCGCGACCGCCCTCCGCTTCCAGCACAAGGTGGAGCTTCCTATACCACTCCTGCACCAAGCAGGAAACTGCCGAAAATGGCCTGAAGCCTCAGACTTCGCATACGTCTTGAGTGCATTCTCGACCGGATAAGTTTCAGATACTCTCAATCTCCGGCCATGTTCAGGCACGGCCGCACACCATCCGAAACAACTGATGCAAGTTGAAGCCCTGTATAACCGGTCCAACAAGAAGAACCGGAGTTGCGCCGAATGTTGGCCGCTGTTGGCCCCGAATGATTCACGCACTCCAGTTTACTTGAATCAACAAACTGTGGTCTCATCCGGAGGGAGTCTGAGCACAAGAACAGCCCGCTGCCGCCCCGCCTCATCCGGCAAAGCCAGAAATCGGCATGCCGGCTGAACCAAATGGATGTTTTCCTTTGGTGCAATGGACTCTCAAACCTGGCTTGAAATCATTGTTTCGATGACATTTAACAGACTTATCATTCACGACAAGAACTGTTCCTGACCTAGGCCCCTCTGAGCACCCGTCCCGAGAAATGATGAAGGCTTCGCCCTCTTTGCCATTGCTCGGGTAACCCGGGACGTACCTGCAAGCGAATCAAAGTTTTCTCTTGTCGTTACAGACAGTCTTTCGAGCTACTGTCAGATACTGTGTGTGTGTGTGGACTGAAGTTAGCGTAAATGTTCTAACCTGAATAGTATACTTCTGTAGCGCTCTCAAATCGAGGCAAAGCTCAGAATTCAATGTTCGACGTCGTGTACAAGTTTCGTCGCAGCTGGGCAACACCGCTACAGGCAGACCCGCTGACAACGCAGACCCACTGACACGAGCAACGGAGAACATCGTTTGTATCCTTCTTAGCGTGCGAGCGCGTATGCACAAGCCCGCACATGTGTGTGTGTGTGTACACGCCTTCACATGGCGACCATCGAGGAAACCACAAAATTTACTGCCGGGGGACGGAGGGGTGCAGGCGAGCTCCGTCCAACGAAGCTCTCCCCTGCACCCCAGGTAAACGTGCCTGCTTTGCCCGCGCCTGGGCCCCCGTCGTGGGCAGCTGGCGGGGCACTCACCTTCGTTCATCTTTCACCTCATCTCGAGCTTTGTCATTCCTTCACGTCTGGCGTAGCAAGGGGCCGAAACCACACCCCTGACGGCGACGGATCATCTCATTGAGGTTTGCTTTCTGTTCCCTTCCTTTGGTCTGGCATACTTGGCAGCAAAAGTTCATTTCACCTTCGTTTTCATCATCATCAATCATCAACATCATCCTGTTTCATGTCGGTCGCTCATCGCCGTCATTCGTGCAGAGCCAAAGTGTGTGTTTGTCTGAGTGTGCGTGTGGGTGCGTTTGCGTGTGGCATGGGTTGAGAGGGAGGTGCTTGAGCGGATCCGCACGACTATGCCGAGTTTACGGCTTGATAATCAGCCCCAAGCCCCTGAGCACCAGTTGTTGAGCACCAACTCCGCATACTCGGGTACTCCGTGAAAAGGACCTCAGCACGAGAGCTAAAGACTCTCCACTGCAAACACAACAGCTCGGCTTGACAACCTACTTCCATCTAGAAGAAGCTCGCTGCAGATTGTCGATCTGGGGTCGCGAGGCGGGCAGGTTTGCTTGCATGGTGGGGATAATTGTTGACAGAAAACCTGACTATACTCACAGCTACCCGACGTTTGCAGCTGCAAGCCTCAGCTTACTTTGCAAGCACGCTGCGATCAATGATTTCCGCGAATTGCCTCAGATCGACTGCAGAAGGGCGAGCTCATGCCTGAACCGAAGACTTCACAATGTCCTTTATGGTGCATGTCTGGCTGTGGAAAGCTGAGGTTGCAGGATGAGCTGCTTTGCCACGTTTTCCAGCCAGTCATTCTCCAGCTCCTTCGGCGTAGTTTGGGAGATGTCACGCTGTGGAGCTTCCAACAACGAGATTGAAGTGTGCTGCAAGATGTGGCATGACAGCTGGCCTGACATGCCTGACCAGAAACGTTGAACTCTCTAGCGGAGGTGCTGTCAGATGTATACCAGTCCATGGGGCCGAAGTGGGAAGATCTTGACTCCAAGCCTGCCTTCGCGAGTGCAGCAGGACGTGGCGGTCCGGACGTGCTGGCAGCAGGATCCACCTGAACCCGGGCATGACATCGTTTCCTTATGTCGCAACCTGCCCTGAGCTGCCAAGACACCACGACTTTGGGGTCGGAGTGCGCTTTCATGCTCCGGTATGCGCAAGCGACGTGGCAGAGCAGCAGCCACGCATGCTCCAAGTCTGCAATGCTCAAGCTTTCCTCGCAGCTTCTCGAGTTCTCAGGAATATGCGCCATTATATTACATGCATCTGAACAAGACAGCATTCATCCAGTTGCATGTTTCTGCAAAGGCTCTGCCGGCGGCCCAGTCGAGGAAGGTGCCACGAGGCTTTCCTCGGGCTCTGGCTCTGCTGCACCAGTGGCCCTGGTAATCCCAAGGCTTCTCATGAACTCTTATGCCGACGTCTATTCTGAGACTTGCGCAAGCATGTGTGAATTATAGTGCATGGACACGAGCCCTCCTCAACAGGCCTGCAGGCACCCATTCTCATCTCGATCCCAAGTCGTTCGTCCATACAACAAAAACCGGAGCAGAAGGCCTACTATAGCCTAAGGCTTTCGAGATACAGAAGCGCAGCCAAGGCGCGAGCTCTTCCTGGCGAGCGTCGCACCTCGCCTCAAGGCCCCGACGACTAATCCCAGTACCACCGACACGAAATAGTGCGAATGAATTATTGAACAAGCTCTTCGAGCGGAGAGTAGTGTACACTCCGCCCTCATGCATCCGTCACGCCAGTTTCAGCAACGAGAGCTTAGCAGTCAAACTGCTACTTCGAAATGGTAACACATAGTTCTAACCAAATTAAGCAAAACTGTTGGCTCAAAGTCGCGACAAAGGGATGGATGAACGACTGCTCGCCGGCTTCCTCATGACATGAGAAGCAATGCCTCAGCTTGCAGCAAGTGCACGACACACACAAATCAGGTCAGCGACGGAAACGTAGAGTGCACTCACCTTATACGGCCATGTAGGTTAAGACTTTTGGTGCAAAGATACGTAGGGATACTTGCAGCCAGATGGGCCAAAGCCTGAGCAGGGAAACAACGCGATTGCACCATTTGGACAACCTCTGCCAATTGTCTTTGATCATCTTGAACTGCAGTGGAGTCCGGGAATCAGAAAACCTTTGAACCGAGGCAAATGTTAGGGCATCAGTACGGTTGGGTGATTTCGATGTGCACCATGCATCTGTCGCCCTTTCTGCAATTGGCGGCAAATTTGCAGTACGCGTGTCTGCGAAGAAGAATGGTGTCGGTGCTTCTTCAAACGAGCAACGAGGACGAGCTTTGACCCGCGATTACCTACTATAGTTACCAAGTGCGCTGTCACAATCACGAAAACAGCAGATGCGTTTGCTCCTTGTTCCTCTGCCCTACACGCTGTCGCCCAACCAGCAAACGCCCAATGAGCCTGGCATCCAGGGTGGGGCGCCTTGAAACCCGAGCACCAGCCGTTCAGGGCGCCCAAGCCTGGGCTGAGGGCTCTTTTTTTCACCGGAAGAGAACTCTGCGTGCAGATCCGGGGGTAGAATGTGACAGCGCTTCGGCTTGCTCAGTGATGCGGGGGTGCCCGTCGGAAAAGGTAGACCAAAATTCAATCCAAGCATAACCTGTGGACCGTCTGCAAATATGCCGGCAAGCGTGCAACTGGAGGCTACGGTCTTCGAAACTGCGTGCATAGGCAGAGCCTTTCGCAAAGCATGTGCTGTACGACGTAGTGCCGAGCAGCGATGCGTCACAAAGCCGTTCGGGCCAGCTGCATCCCACAGACCATCCACCTGAGCGCATCGCCAGATAGCTGCTCTGCGCGTGTGCCAAACTGCAACAGCACGTACACTGCTGCAGTCCCAGGGCCTCATTGAGGGGCGGAATATTTGCAAGGTCCTTCCTCTCCTTGTCGACATGCGCTTGAACAGCCTGCCGGCCAGTGCGACAGGCAGCTGCTGAGAACCTGTTTTTGCTTGTGTCGGCTTGAGCCTGAAAGTCAATAATTCAATAATACCGTGAGATTGCACAGGCTAGATGACAAGAGCGGAAGTTGTCTAACCGGTCGATAATGACGCCGGCCGCTTGCATGCATGATGAATTACGATTGGAAGCTGTTGTGCTGTCACGGACTGCCACCTGAAGCTCCGGCGTGCGCTGCAGAATGTCATGCTTCCTTAGCTCAAGCTGTGCACGCATTCGGCATTGGATGGCTCCACACATGCCAAGCCTTCCTGGACCTACTCATGGCACCAGTGCGATTTCCTCATGAGATGCCCCTACCACATCGCCCTTAATACATCGAAGCTTCGACCACAATGGAATTCGGGCCATCTGGGAGTCCGTGATGTGCTGCTGCAGGTAGTCGAAAGTCGTCCCTCCTGTGCCAGTGGGGTCCCCGAATAGCTCTAAACATCTCCTGAAGCTGCTCCAGTGCTCCTGTTCCAACGACGGGCTGTTGCGGCCCACTGGGGCTGCCTCAGTGCATGGATGCGTCTGCGGTTTGGAGATGTTGAGAAGGCAGGCACGCATGCTGTCTACCATAATCGCTGGCATGATGACAGGCTGGACGTCCCATCTCCGACGCAATAAACGTGTCTCCCGACAGCTGACCTGCTAGCCTCTTCGGATCAAACATCGAACAACGTCGCCATGAACAACCATCATCGCTGTCGTCACCATCATATAGACCACCGGAAGAGTAGGAACGAAGAACTATCTTGGCACTCTTTCAAGGAAGACGACGATTACTACTCAGCCTGATAAACAGCAGTGAGGCTGACAGTGGGGCAGCAACGCTGCAATTCTAAGGCAACAGCAACATTAAACGCCATGTCAAGCACTCAAGCCCAAAAGCACCCACAAATCCAAGACACACGCGCACGCACACACATACATGTACACCATACCATACCATACCATACCATACCATACCATACCATACCACACCACAACGTATGCATGTATGTATGTATGTATGTATGTATGTGTGTATGTGTGTATGTATGTATGTATGTATGTATGTATGTATGTGCATACATGCATATGCACGCACACAGACACACCCACACACACACACACGCACATATATACATATATATGTATATATCTGTATTATGTATGTATGTATATATATATATATGTATACATACATACATACATACATACATACATACATATATTTATATTTCTAGTTATATTTCTATTTATATTTATGTTTATACTTATTCATTCTAACACTGACATCGACACTGGCACCAACATATACTAAACATTAAATACTAATGCTAATACCAATACTACAGCAATATTAGTACTAATACCAATGCTACCATAAAACTCGCACAAATAGTAACGCGACCAATAGTTTTAAGACTACTACAAACAACAATAGTGGTACCAAGCTGTGTCACGACTAAAATTAAGACCAAGGCTAAGATTAGGTTTAGGAGTGCGGCATGAATGTGTAGAGATTTCCCAAAATTGCAACCAATTTTGCAAATTCCAATGAATCTTAGAGATTTCAATAAATTCCAGAATTTGCAAAATTCCCCAAATCTCCAAAAACCTGGCCCTATTTGGCAGAGTCGGTCCAAAACATGGGGGGGAGATTTGTGGAAATTTTGGAATTTGGGCAATTCTGGTTTCTTTTAGACATTTTGGAAAGCTTGGGGAGGAATTTTGGAAACTTCAGAATTCTCAAAAATTTCAAAAAATCTAGACCCTATTTGGCAGAGTCGGTCCTTAACATTAGGGTGAGAATTTTGGAAATTTTGGGAAAGTTAGGGGGCTAAAGTCTTGCAATTTGGGATTTTTCCACCATTCTGGAAATCTGGGGGAAGGAATTTTGGAAATTTAGAAGAGGCGATCGTCACCCATCCGTTTACAGAACATGCCTGACTAACGCATGCTCTGCCAACGGGGGGGGGGGACCATATATATATATATATGTATATACACACACATCTATGTACATACGACATACGCCATGCCCAGCCTGCTGCACCTCACATCCATGTAGACACGAACAACGAACGCATGATTGACCATCAGTGTGGCCAGTGTGGCTATTCTTCCAATTACCGCCATGCCGAATTCGCTCAAGAAAAACGTCTGGCGCCTCTAACGGTGGCTATCCCGACGAGGCGCTGTCCACATGGATTACCGGGCAGACCGAGCCGGCGCTGGAAGAGAAGCCAGCAGTTGACGGCCGCACGATGAATTGCTCCACAAAGCTCCAGTGCCTGTCTCTCTCTCTCGCTCTACAAACATACATGCGACTCGGAAGGCTTAAGTGTGGACTTACGGCACTGATGTGGCCAGGGCTTCTTAACATGAAACAAATCTAGGCAGAGCTTCCTGAACATGGGTTCAAGGTTGTGTTGGTGTTGTCTGCGGGCTCGCGACTTCCATGCTTGGGGTCCCTTTTCCAAGCATTGCGCAATCACAGTGGGAACAAACTGACTCACATTGCTTCTTTTCAAGCCCCCGGCCTCCATCGGAAGTCAAGCACTCGCGAAATGCATGCATTGAAGGCACCTGGCCACACAAGGCATTTCAAGATGCTGCGGCTGAAGGCCCCGAGCCTTTTTGTTTCAATCTTTGTGCGGCAAGTCAACTATCTTTCAGTTGCACGGATGGAATTCTCGCTTCGGCACGCTCCGACAGTTTTCCAGCCTATCTCGAGAAGTACATGAAGGAGGCCTGCCAAAGCATACCAAGTCTTTTCCTCCACGGTGTTCTTGCGGGACTCAACGAATCGCTTGACGCTCCTCAGATATCAAATCTATATAGGTGTTGTATCTGTGCGGCTGCTAGCAGTTCCGATTCCTTACCACTCAAGTCAGGCCAGATGACTGCGGTGCGTTCCGGAGCCGATCCAAGAATTGTCGGTGCTCCTTGGGGACGTACGCCTCACAGGGACGACATTGGAAAGGAGTCCAGGCGTCAACATGCCTCAAGTGCTTGGAGCTGTATATACATATACAATATACAAATCCAGACCCACACTTCGGCATGCACTGATAACTCTCCTTCCTTCCATGTGGTATCCAGCAAGCTGGACCCGTGCGTGAAGTGCCCCTCTTCCCATCTCTCTCTTATGTCCTAAGGCCGGGTCATGGACCCCCACATCCTCTATGGGCCCTAGGGGTCGCCCTTTCCCCTGTTGTGGGGGCTTCGGGTTACCAGCGGAAAATCAGAAAGATTGAGTCGTCTTGCCCTCTGTCCAAAACACGGCTGGACTTCAAAACAACTGCGGGACTCTGGGAATCCAAGTCTCGGACACTCAACAGCGAAGCAGTAAACTCACATCTCTCTCACTCTCTCTTTCTCTCTCTCTGGTGCGAGGTTCCGGGTTCGAGCAGTGCAACCCTTGACTAACTACTGTACGGGACAAAGCTAAGGGCAAGCACTACGACTGAGCGCTCCGTCGGCTCGGCGAAGAGCGCCTTCTTGACCATCTGTAAGCTACCAAGGCAGACCATCTATGTACTGTAAGTCAAATGGCTGATGGCCAATGGCTAATGTTAACATCGATGGACATACCCAATGCTGTCCGTACAAGTTCAAGACCCCCGAATCATCAAACAGCGTCGCCTCGAAGGCTTTCACGGCCTCGCGAAGCTCTGCGGATGTGTTCTT